ACCCAGAAGCACTTCATCAGAAGGTTTGAGAGCTGATCTTGTTCTGACTAGAGCATCTTTACTTCCAAGGATAAAGTCTTCAGGATGAGAGGATGTGATTTTGTTCTTCCTTGGTTGCGTTTGATTAGAAGAACTATCAATAGTATCAGAAGAAAGAGCTTCTGATTCTTTATCTTCTTGAACCTTCTCCTTTGGTTCAACAAACATTATGGTTATATCTGCAAGCTTTTCACACAGCTTTGACTTTTCATAGTCAAGCTTATCATCAAATCTAACATGGATTGATTCCTCCATGATTCGTGATTTTGTGTTATAAGTTTTGAATACTTTAGAGCGTTTAGAGTATCCTAATAGCAGACACTTTTGTGCCTTAGAGTCAAACTTATCCAGATTCTCTTTAGTGTTTAACATATAACAAGTACATCCAAATGGATGGAAATAGGAAATTTTGGGCTTTCTATTCTTCCACAATTCATAACGAGTCTTACTCAAAATAGATCTTATGGAGATTCTATTTTGAATATAACATGTTCTATTCACTGCTTCTGCCCAGAAGTGCTTAGCCATCTGAGTTTCTTGAATCATGGTGTGAGCCATTTCTTGCAGTGTTCTATTTTCCTTTCTACAACCCCATTTTGGTGTGGAGTTCTAGCATAAGAAAAATCATGTACTATGTCGTTTGAATCTAAAAGTTTTTCAAAATATTTATTTTCAAATTTTCCGCCATGATCACTTCGTACTCAGACTATTTTGTAATCTTTTTCATTTTGCACTTGGGAACAAAAGAAAGCAAATACAGAGTATGACTCATCCTTGTGTTTCAAGAATTTTCCCCATGTCTATCTTCTATAATCATTAAAGATGACAAGTCCATATTTCTTACCATTGACAGAGGCAGTTTTCACAGGTCCAAATAAGTCAATGTGAAGAAGTTCTAATGGCCTAGAAGTATAAACAATTTGTTTAGCTTTGAAAGAGGTTTTTGAAAATTTACCTTTCTGACAAGCTTCACAAAGGGCATCTGAAGTATACTTCAAATTGGGCAAGCCTCTCACTAATCCAAATTTATTTAGTTGAGAAATATTTCTCAAGCTAACATGACCCAGACGTCGATGTCAGACCCATTGCTCTTCTTGAACAGTCAGAAGACATTTTACATTTTGATTTTTCAAATTTGATAATCTTATTTTGTAAATATTGTTCTTCCTCTTGCCATTGAACAGGACTGAGCCATCCTTCTAACTAACAACTTTACAGGATGTTTGATTAAAAATAACGTCATAACCATTGTCACTAAGTTGACTAATTGACAATAAGTTATGTATCATACCCTCAACTAAAATAACATTGTTAATAGAGAGGAGTTTACCATTATCAATAGTTCCAGAACAAATGATCTTTCCCTTCTGATTGCCTCTGAAACCAACAACTCCTCCAGACTTAAGTTCCAAATCTGGGAACATATGCCTTTCGCCCATCGTATGTCGGGAGCATCCATTGTCCAGGTACCATGATTGGTGTTTCACTGGTGCCATCAAGGACATCTGCAATATAGATTATCTGATCCTTATGTACCCATTTTTTGGGTCCTTTTTTGTTAGCAATTCTAGAGGTTCTGACACCTTTTGACTTATGTGCAATAGGATAATCATGTGAAATTTGTGCATGATAGTTTGGCTTAAAAGTTTCCTTTTGTGTTTGTGTTTGTGCTACAGTAGTATCTAAACCATCTTGTTCTGGACATTTCAATTTTGTGTCGGCAAACACGAAATGTTTAGAAAGAGGTTTTGGTTTGATATTTAGAGTCTCATCAATTTTCTTTGATTGTCCTGAATATCCCAAGCCTTTGCTTCCATTTCTACTAACACCATAGATCATTGAATCCATTTTGCTTCTATCTATGCTCTTAGATAGGAAATGTTGAAAAGCTCTATCATATCTGATTACTTCATCAGTAATAGATATGGTAGAGATTATCTCTTCTTCCAATCTATACACTTTACTTTTCAGAGCAATATTTGATTTTTCTAAAGCAAATAGTTTTTCATTTAAGTCAAAAATGTTTTGCTCATCTATAGTAGTGTTCTCAAAAGTATCCACAAATCTCTTTTTCAAGATTTTGTGTTTACTTAGAAGAAGTTGATATCTTTTCATTAATTCAGATAAGTCAATTTAAAGTTCAGAACGAGATAAGGAAGAAAGTGCCTTTTTATCATCATCAAAGTCTGACTCATAGTTAAGTGTCAGTTTGTCTTCTGGTGCTACTTCTCCCTTGTTGGTGGGCCATGAATGCCATTTTTGCATTCTCTTCATCAGAATCTCTGCCTTTTGATTCTGAATCATCCCATATTTCCATGAGACCCTTCTTAACTTTGTAAGCCTTCTTAGGCTTCTTGTCTTTCTTAAGCTTTGGACAATCATTTTTGTAATGTCCAGGCTTGTTGCATTCAAAGCAAGTAACTTATTTTCCAGAAGCATTCCTTTGACCAAAAGTGGATTCACCTATTCCATATGTCCTTCGTTGACCTCTGAACTTTCTTTGTCCGTGCTTCCTGATTTGACTTATTCTTCTGGATATCAGAGAGAGTTCATCATCATCTGAATCATCTTCAGATTCTTTTGATTCTTCTTAGCTTGATAAGCCTTAGTTTTCCCAGAAGTAGAATTTAGAGCAACTGATTTTACCCTCTTCTAAGGTTCATCTTGTTCTATCTTTATTTTATGACTTCTTAAAGAGTTAATCAACCCCTTAAGAGAGGTATTGTTCAGATCCTTTGCCAATTTTGAAGCAGTTACCAATGGTCTCTATTTTACAGGAAGACTTTTGATAATCTTTTTAACATGATCTGCGGCGTAGTAACCTTTATTCAGAACCTTAAGTCCTGCCACAAGAGTCTGAAATCTTGAAATCATCGTTTCCACATATTCATCGTCTTCCATCTTGAAAGCTTCATATTTTTGAATTAAGACTAGAGTCTTTGTTTCTTTTACTTGTGTGTTGCCTTCATGTGTCATCTAAAGAGAATCAAAGATAGACTTTGCAATCTCTCTATATGTGATTTTCTCATATTCATTATATGAAATAACACTTAGAAGAATGGTTCTTACTTTGTAGTAATTTCTACATACTTTCTTATGTGCTTCTGTCATTACACTTCTTATAATATTTTGACCTTTATCGCCTACTAGGTGAGTGTAGTCATCAACTATCAAGTCCCATAGATCCAAGTGATATGCCTAAAAATAACTTTCTATTTTATCCTTTCAATAGTCAAATTTCTCCCCCATCAAACATAGAAGGTTTTGAACTTTAGTGATCTCTATTATTATCCCTATTATCAACAGTGGAAGTAGGTGTAGCCATTGATTTTTCACACACACTGGATTGATACTGAATACTGCTAAGTGTTGATAAAAATTCAAACTTTTTATCTCCTTAGAACCGGAGCTATGATGTTAATTGAAGGTGTGAAAAATAAAATAAATTGGGGAATTTGAATTGAGTTTTAAATAATAAAAAAAAAACTATCTATAAAAAAATTATTCCCCTTTAAGTTAAAATACTTTTTCTTCATTCTTGATAATAACAATAAGTAAGAACGGGAAGTAAAGAACAATATGTTTATACTAGTTCACTTGAAAATTATCAAGCTAGTCTAGTCCACCCGCCAAGGTGATTTCGTCTCACTCAATCGAGGACTTAATTCACTATAACCAAACTGATTACAATTTGCACAAGCTACCCACAAGTGACTAACATCCTCTAAGACACACAAGCCCTAGACTTCTTAAGGATACATACCTACTCGATCCCTTAAGGAAAATCTTCCACAAGCTACCCGCAAGTGACTAACAACCTCTAAGACAAACAAGTTCTAGACTTCTTAAGGATACAGACCTACCCGGTCCCTTAAAGAAATATCAAACAACCGTTTGAATACAAGTTTTGTTTACAAGAGTATTGCTTCTACACAAGCTGAATATATAAACTATTTTAAGAACAATGACTAAAAACTATGAAAGTTATGAACAACGTTTTATGCGTGGATATTTCGTTGATTGACAACTTTCTCTTTTAGTCTTCAATAAAATAATATATGTGTTGAGAGACTCTTGGGATTTCTAGAAACATTTGGCAGCTTGAGCAATAATGTGGTGGGACAAGATCGTGCAATGCGTCTGTCCTTTCATGATAGTGGAATGAAACGTTCATTGTACCATGTTAACTTTATCTTCTTTTCTTCTATACTTTAGAGGCTTCTGCGAGCATGAGTTTAGAAGCGAGAACATAACACAAGGTCATCAAAACTTCAAGTCTTCAGAATTGCGTCTTAAGAGTCTTCAGCACTTGGTTGTGAAAACCTTATCTTGGAACATTGGATCTTTAGAACTTCGAGTCTTTAGAATCTTTAGAACTTGTCTTTAGAGTCTTCAGCACTTGGTCTTTAGAACCTTGGATCTTTTAGAAACTTGAGTCTTTAACATCTGGACTTGAGTAGAAACTTCTTTCTTCAGATCTTCTGACTGTTTCTTTAGAACTCGTTGTCTTCAAAAACATGAGTCTTCAGCATCTAAACTTAAGTAACAACCTATGTCTTCAGATCTTCTAACTCGTTTCTTTAGACAAACATCAGAGCTTACACTTCAGAGTCTTCTGGAGTGTCTTGCTACTGTTAAACAGAATTTGTGTAACACAAAAACGAAATTAATTCTCTTCTAATGTTTTTGCCACGTCATCCATCAAAAGCAGAATCTATTTGTTCAATACTCAACAATAACAAATATTAGAGTATCAAAATTGTTCATAGAAACATACTCATTTATTATCATCAAAACTCAGAGATAATATTGCATAACCAAATTTTATTCTTACACTTATTGCTTTTGGATTTGAGGACGACATTAAGGGTTTTATCAAGAAAGAGAGTTCATTTGAATTCACTAAGGAGTAAGGGTTGATTTGGATTCATTATTTGGAAGTATTCATTCAAGCGACTACCATGGGTTCAAAATTTTGTGGATCACAATTGTTTAAGCATGCGAGGCTGGAGGAAAATTCACACGAATTGCTTATAATACAAGTTAGAAAAGCATTCATGACACAACAAATTAATTCATCATCATTCAACGTTGTTGAACAATGTCCAAAATATATACATTACCCATTTTCAATACAAACATCAATTATATTCAATTCCAAAGCTAAGTTTCAAATACAATTCATCATCATTTAAATCATGTACAAAAATCCATATGAATGCCTTGTTCAATATTGCTTTAACATAAACTAAAACCAATGTCAAAACATTTCCATTTGTGATTCAAAACCAATGTCATTGGTTTGCTCCATGTCCACGAAATATGTCCAAGCAATTAATCAAACCTGTCCAAAATAAAACAGTTCCAAGATCATTAACAAATCAGTTCAATGAATATCCAAATCAGTTGCAAATATTTCATAAAATCTGCATCAATTCCAGCTGAAACGAGTAAAACCTGCGCTGCTGCTATAACATGAAACGAATTTGCAAATTAAACTCAAAACAGAAAACTGGAAATGTCAATCATGATCCGCAAGCTTCTCATAAACAGCTCATCATTTCCAAACCAAAATACAAGCCTAAGAAAATTCAATCCGAGCCTGAGCTGAAGCAAAATCGAGCCTGCAACGTTTAGTGCAAATTATCATCTTAACAAAATTACTTCAACTAACTTTCACTGTAAAAAAACGAATTTTTTAACTAAACCCTAACAGATTCTCCAGCTTCTAACCAAATTCTAACAACCTAACTAGTATTCTAACTTAACAGAACCAAGTTTCAACCTTTAACCCATCACAGCTTCAACTAACTATTAACTTCCAATTTTAACTAACACCAAACTAACCAAAACAGAAAAAACAACCTAACTGCCAATGCCAGCACATCAATCTCCTGATAACAGATTTTCAAATTGACTCCAAACTCTAACTGCTAACAGTAATAAACTTAACAGAAAACTGACTTGTACCTAACTGATAACAGAAACCAAAACTAACTTGCAGCTAGTACTCAATCTCTAACCAATTTGTAACAGGATTTAACTAACCCTCATCACTCCCTAACTGATTAATCATCACCATCCAATTCCCTAATAGAATCTTAGATCCTGTGGCCTAGAATCCCTCAACTATAACTATTTCAACCCTCCTTCCTCATCTCTATATAAACCTTCATCATTCTTCAATTCAGAACTAACCACCATTCATCAACCATTCCAGAAAAGTCACCTTCATTCATCTTCACATTCTCACCTTCAAACTACTCTGAACCTTCTTCATCTTTCTCCATACTTCACACCTCAGACTCATTCTTCAACCTCACACTTCTCCCTCTGCAACATAAACCTTCACGAACCTTCTTCCCAACCCCTCAACATCACACACTCACGAACAAACAACCTCCCTCAATCTTCTCCTCTCTGTTACACTCCATAGCAAAGAGTACTCAACAACAAACGTAACATAGCGCAGAAAGAAATACGAAGAAGAAGACACGAGTATAAGAAAACAAAAGAACAACAACAACAACAAAGCGAAAACGGAAGCATACCTAGAAGGAAAAGAGGAAGAAGCGACACCCGTACCTCCGCCGCCGTACCAGACATTTTAGCCCCCTAAACAGGTGCTTGCGACGCGTTATATGACTCTTATTCATGCGTCTTCATCTAATTAAGACTCTGCGTGCTTCAATTTTGAGGGATTGCACTTAAATCTTCGAATTTCAACACCTAGGGTTTCCATTAGAATATTCCGATCCCACAACATGACAAGTCTTTGGAAAAATCTAACGATGGATTCGTAACCAGGGTGTGAATTCACAAAGGTTTTCTTTGAGAGGGATGTTGATTCAGGGTGGTCGATTGATTCGTTGGTGGTGGCACTTGCGGTGGGTTTTTCGCCGGGAATCACCAAAGGGCGTAAGAGAGAGAAGATTGGGTGGATAATGAAAAGCTGAAAAGTCACAAATACTGTTTAACGTTGTGTTTCATAATCATACAGTAATTCCTTTGCTTTTTCTTTAATTTTGTTTTTTTAATTCAAATAATAATAAACAGAAATATAGTGAATAGAGCAAATGTGGCTATGTGTTGTTTGAATTGGGCTTGATGCGCCTGGGCCTTCTTTCCACACCTTTGCTTGATCAATCACTCCTAGCTGTTCTCTTGAATTTCATTTTGTCCTCTTGATCTTTTACAATTAATTTTTCGAGTTTCTTGCATGATTTTTGGCTGATTTTTTTGGTGTGAATATTAATATGTTGATTTATGATTAGATGATATTTTTCCCTGATTTTTTCTATTAATTTAGGAATTAATTGAATTAATGTTTCATAAATGATTAGAATTAGGATTTTAACATGTTCTTGCTAACTCTTCCCAATTGATTCAATTTATTTGGTATGATGAGTGGTTTAATGACAAGTTATGATTCTTGAATGCCTCATTAAATGATTGCTTGTGGTTATGTTCATAAAAAGTCTCATAAATTTGAAAAAAATAAGTTTTATGTTTCATGGAGTGTTCATGTGGTTTGCGAGCTTTGTGGTTGAATGTTGATGCAACTTTTGTAACATGAAATGCTTGAGGATTAGTTTGTTTGATCACTTGCGTGAAGCTTCTATAGAATTTTCTTATCGCTTGTGCGACTTTGAAGAGGCAACAGACCTTCTCCATTAGATATCATCTGAGCTCTCTTTACTCTCTTATTTAAGCATCATTTTAGTTCTTTCTTTACATGAGAAGTAGCATAGAGATGCCATGAGTTGAAGTTCTACCTTTGTAGACTATGTATTTGCGTAGTTAGGAATTAGTTTGTGATGTTGGGTATTGATGCTTTAGTTTGATGTTTTACTTCTACACTTTGGTTTTGTTTATTACAATTTTTGTCATATTTTGTGGTGGACAAAGAGTCACTCAGCTTGCACTCCATGGCTTCGTTTACTTTATTTCTCTTTTGATCATTGTTTTAATTATTTGTGTTTTCTTGTGATACCATGCTTCCTTAAGATTTTTAATTTAATTTTAATCTCTTGATTAAATTGAATTAATTAGACCTTAGGCTTTAAAACCAAGCATGACAACAATCAGGTATAATTCCCTCCATCCTCACCTTAGGTCCACGATGCATGACAACATTAGGATTAGCTCCCTCTTAATCATTTTTCTTTCTTTTTTACATTGCATTATAAAACTAAAATATTTTTCTCAAAGAAAATTCAAAAATACTTATTGAATAAAGATACATATAATACGTTACGAGCATTAAGTACATGAAGAGGACTTTAGATCTGAGGCATCTGACTCGATCATCCAAGGATCTTCATGTCATAGACTTTAGTATAATATGTACCTCAAACAATTTCAAAACTACAGGAGGTGGATTCAAGTACCCTCGGGGACCACTTGAAGGATCTCCTAACAAAAACACTCCAAAAAACACAAACTCTTTTGCCTCTTGGGTTTTTCTCTTTAACCTTTTCAAAAAGGGTGCGTTATTTTTGTTCTACCGCAGTACAGGCTGTGCCTATTGCTAGAACATGAATGTTAACACCACGCATAAAAAACACAACAAATCAACATTTTTTAGCCTAACTACGATGCCCTGATTACTTAAAATGGATACATAGATATTGGGTTGTAGGACCTAAGCGAGCACAACTATTTAAAACATTTGTTTTCCATGTATTTTTTTCCTTTTTCCTACATGTATTCCTTTAGGAAGTGAACATTAGATGTAACACACTCATTTATTAGAACAACAAGAGTGGATCTCGTGGAGTGTCTCGAACGTGACAGGTACTAATATCTTCCCCTTGCGTAACCGACTTCAGTATCCTTTCTCTTGGTCACAAGACCATCTTATCCTTCCTTTTGGAGTTTTCTCGATATTTTCCCCTCCCTCGGGATAAATAAAGTTCAGTGGTGACTCTGTGTTTTTTTGCAGTGTGAAAATCGACGGGTAGCCCATGCATTTCGAGAAATCTCCTTCAAAGGACCGGGTAGGTTAGAAGTCTTAAGGAGTCAGTGATTGTTATATCTCTTAGGGGACCGGGTTGGTCATAATTTTTAAGGGATCACTAACAGGTTATCGTTGCTTTGTTGTTAGTCATCGGTGGGTAGCCCATGCATTTGTAATCTTTCAATATTAGTGGTTTAAGTCATTTTCTAAGGCGAAATCACCTTGGCGGGTGGACAAGAGTAATCTTTTCTAAGGTGAACTTGTATAAACCAAACGTGTCATTATTTCTCTCTATAACATTGATTCTATTTTGACTGTTTGTGTAAAGCACTTATAAATGAAAAAAAAAAAATGAAAACCAAATTCAAACCCCCATTTCTTATGTTTTTCGCAACCTTCAATATTCACCCAAAACCTTAAGTCATTGAGTGTATGAGTCATCTCACTTAGGCAAAATACTCATTTTAGTCACTTAATTATACCCCTGGGTTCAAATGGATCCCTTAATTTTTGATCTTACCTGATCAGACTTGGACCGTCACGACTGGCTCCAAGCGGAAGTTTAGCGAGATGGGGGGGGGTACCTGCAAGGCACTCCGATGCTAAAGTGAGTGATGGTACGAGCAGGAAAAAAGTGTATGTATGGGTAAGAGAATGAATACCTGACCCTCTGGGAACAGAGGGTATTTATAGCCCCCAGCGCGGGGCCAAGGTCCTTTCATTGGGCCGACTAGGACTGGCCCAACAAAGGGACTGCCAGGTTCTACGTGTGTAGTGGGGACCCGCACATGGTTCCCTTCTTGGTGATGCTCTGTGAGAAATGAGGAGGGACGAGGACGTGGTCTTTCTAGAGTTTCGGTGATGGGGTAATAGTCATAATCTGCCCTAAGAGGAGGGTGCTCGAGCTAGGCTCGAGCTGGAGTTCACATGGTCGGGGACGCCTATGTTCACGGACAACGACGGGCACGGCTGCAGCTTCTGGTCGATGCGCTGGCAGGAATCTTCGGGCGCGCGCTCCTTAAGAAGCTGCTTGGATTGGGCCTTCATTCTTGCTCTTGGGCCAGGACGGGCCCAGTCCAGAACAGGATCCCCCCAAGTCGTGGCTCCTGGAGCAGGAGTTATGACTTGATCTCAGCTCGCCGTTGTCACGGGGTCTTATGCCCGGCTCAGGATATTTGCTTCCCTGTGGTTGCTCGAGGAGTTTCTCATGAGCTACGTTCGTGGGGTAATCCCTTT